CAAAGGAGACCAGTTGTAATACCAGGAGGTCTCCAGCCACCACCTGGGGAATGGTGATTCCATGTGTCGAAGAGGTCCTGTTTTATTTGAAGTGGCCAATCTACACTTTCATTGGAACATGTGCGAGCCATTCCAATCTTGCGGAGGCTTGAGGAGTCCAAACACGCAGCTAGGAAAACTGAAGTGCCTTTCAGATTAGGGGGGGGAGGAATAAATTCTGTGGATTCCTTCCCTCTGCGGTGCAGTTCAGTTGGACCATGAAACTTTTTTTCTGGGGAGTTGGTGAAAAATGCCAGTTTGGTGTAGTAGTTAAGTGTGCGGGCTCTAATCTGGGAGAACCAGGTTTGATCCCCCACTCCTCCACTTGCAGCTGCTGGATGACCTTGGGCAAGCCATAGTTCTGATCAGAGCTGTTCTTGGAAAAGAGCAGTTTCTGTCAGAGCTCTCTCAGCAGCTCCACCTACCTCACAGGGTGTCTGTTGTGGGGAGGGGAAGGGAAAGGAGATTGTAAACTGCTCTGAGACTCCTTCGGGTACTGAAGGGTGGGGTATAAATTCAATCTCTTCTTCTTCTTCCTCTCCTTAAAGAAAATTTACAATTTTCTTAATGTGGTTGGATCTAGGCTGAATGACTCACTGAACACGTGGCTCATGGAACACGTTTGCTTCATAGAATGGAAATGTTATTGGCCTGTAATACACGGCTGGCTGGCTGGCTTTTTGATGGCGAACTTGTGAGCAGTTACGTGCTGTCAGTTTAGATTGGCCGGCGTCCCCTTCTTCCCCCGCAGTCCTATTTCTGTTCTCGGCTTTCTGTAAAGCTCATGGGAATGCTCAGCCCGCCGGCTCTGCCCATTCGGCACTGTTTCGAATGTCCCGTAGCTCAGCCCGCTTTTCACGACGCCTCCTCGCCCTTATTGACTGTCTGTCCCCGCCTCTCTGTGGCTTGCCTGTCGTGGGCCTGGGCCGAGCTGTGAAACGGCAGAGCCCAGATTCTGAACAATCGTGGCTCTGCGTCTGAACCAAACATCCCGTGAGTCTCTTGCATCAAAGACAGGAAGTGCGCCTCTGGCAGTCGAGGGGTCCGATCCTCAGTGGCCAATCGTGCTGGCAGGGCTCTGTGGAACTGAGATTATTCACAAAGAAATGGGGAAGGGAGGGGGGGATACAGGGTTCTCCAGCCATGTGGGGAGTGGGGGGATGCTTGGCCGGGAGACCAGTGACTCATAACAGTCAACTTTTTGAAACGGCAATGGCTGGGGGGGGGACAACGCTCCAAAGGATACTGGAAGAATAAGTCGAGGCTTTTGTCTGCGCTGCCATGTTCATGATTCATAAGTTGCACTTCCCTTTTCAGGCTGGAAAAGGAAGAGGTAATAAAAATCCACCCAGTGTCAAAGCGTCTGGTGCGCCGATCTTGGTGTTAATTCAAGATACCTTCCGTCTTGTTTAAAGCAAGAGGCTAAGGGGACGGAAGCGGAAAAAACTGTATAGGTTTATCTGGGGGGGGGGAACTGTTCAAATTGGTCGGGACAGATCTTTTTCTGAACGGCAAGCCCTTTCGAGAGCGGAGGAGGCCGGTCCAGTGAGGAATGTGGGACTTTTTTTATACACTCAACTCTTGTCTCTTGGGCCGAGGACAAAAGTTCCATTTTGCTGATTAAAAAAGCAGCCTGTGGTGTTCTTCCAAAGCCTACAGTGCCCTTGTAAGCGTTCGAGAAGTATGAGGAACGAAAATATTCCACTTTGTGCCTCTTGAGACGCTTGGGGTTTTCTGGGCCTTGTGCGTGAAACAGGGAAGAACAAACCGCTTTTCACTGGGTCTGAGACAAACAGTTTTCTGCATGCCCCTGGTTGGCGCTGTAGCCGGGCGGGTTCCGAAGTTAAAACAGCTCAGGGATATGTCGAGAAGAGCAAACTGATACCCCCCCCCAATCTAAGCTGAGCAACGACCCTAACTTTCCCAAACTGTTAAAAGCCAAGCCCGTCCCTGTGCCAGTTATAGGGGTGCGGTGTGTTAAAGCAGAACGTTTTTATGCTTTAAATGTATGCGATCCACACGCCATCAGTACATATTCCAGAGTTAATGCCTGGCGTAGTCTGTACGCCTGAGCAGCAGTTGAAATTTGGAATGGAGGTTTCTGGCTGCAAGGGGGAGTCTTTGTGCGGTCATTACAGGCCATGCTTTGGTTTTCTGCTTCCTTAGGAAATCAAGCTTTAGCTCCATGCGTCAAACTCAAGGCTGTGCCCCTCTGCTCTCGCTAGGGTGCAAAGGGGTGTAATTCTACAATTTGGCATATTCGTAGAATGTAAAGGTATAAAGATCTTCTGTGAGAGAAATTGCAGGGATACCCAACACTTGAAAAAAATAATGGTAGAAGGTAGAAAACATTCTGTAGTAAACAAAAGGAAAATGTTTTCTTTGGGCAGAAACTTTCGCATAGGGTCACGGTGGGAGGACCTGACCCGTGTGTTCGGATATTAAGCTGAACTTTATAAGACTGAGCTCTTTCATAATATATATTACTATTAAATACATTGTAGCATGTTGGTGCTCAACTTATTTCCTTTTAAACAAAAGAAAACCTTAACCTTTTGTGTATGCTTAAAGATCAAGAGGCTTTTTCGAGTCCTCACACTGTTCCATGCTGTATATTTGGAATTAGTGAAATGCTTTGGAGAAAGAGAAAAGAATTACAGGGTTTTTCGCCCCAGTGCTACCCCAAATTGCCCAGTTTTCCATTGGGAAAAGCTGGGGAGAAAATTCTCGTGGGCTTTTGCAAGCTATACGTTTTGAATATGAAACTTTGCTTTGTGAATCATTTCTCCCCCTGTCAAGTCACAGCTGATTTATGGCTACCCCGTCGGGCTTGCAAGGCAAGGGATGTTCAAAGGTGGTTTCCCCTCGTCTGCCTCTGCATGGCAACCCAGGGCTTCCTTGGTGGTTGCCCATCCAAATAGTTACCAGGATCCTCCCAGTATCTGATGAGATGAGGTCAGGGCGTTTTACTCATTCGAAAAAGAAAATATTTCATCAGAGTTTCTTTTCAGTGTTCCCCCAATTTTTTCCTTCGGGGGGGGGGAAGGCCATGGGAGGGGGGAGGAAATTACCAACGTTCCCTCTTAGCTGTGGAGTCTCATGAGCAAAAATCCTACTTTGTGAGCTACCGGCATTAAAGCTGTGGGTGAGCAATTTGGCGGCTGCATAAATTAGTTTGCTCTGGAGCCTTCCTTCCTGAGCTAAGATAAAAATGTGTGAGCCGGAGGCTAAAAAAATGTGAGCTGGCTCACACAAACTCAGCTTAGAGGGAACACTGGAAATTGCTCGCACCCCCCAAATTTAGTCAGTCTTTCCCACCTGGGCCGTGACATTTCTAGATCAGGTAGTGGGCCTTAGTAAGACTCATGTGAAGGATTTTTTGATATCCGTTCACTCAGGCAGTGGTGTGGTGCTGATGTTCCTGTTCTTGCCAATCTGAGATTGTCGAGGGAAGAGTCCTTGAACGCAGTTCAGAAGGGGAAGGTCAAGTTCACAAACTCCCACAAACCTGACTGTGTAGATCATTTTTTCCTACCCTCTTAGGGCGGAACGACACCCTTTGTGTAGTAGTTCACGATTTTTTCCAGTGCGTGTGCGTTTCTCTCAAAGAATATTGCTGCCATAGCGCAAGGGGGAGGGCGGATTTACCCCAGAGAAAGAGGCAGCGGTGTCGCTCTTTGCCTTCATACTTCTGTCAGAAATCAGTGGCCCAGTTTATTTTTCGGCCCACTGGGGAAAGCTTGTAGGTACTGCTGAATTAAATTTTACAACCAGGAAAAGTTACCACAGGGGGAAATGGCGGGACTCATTTGATAGCTTTGCGCTCTTAGGAGGGGGAGCGCACAGGCGGTCAGATCCCCGAAGCTCAGCTGCATAGCAACAAGCTGCCGTTGCAGCTCTGTGAGAGATCGAGTGGGTGGGGATTTGCTCCTCTCCTGGGGAGACTTCAGTGGAGCTTATCTTCCCCTCCCCGTAGGCCGTGAGCATAATGCACTGTTCTGTGGTAGAAATCTGAAGTTGTTCCTCTGGATAGTGGCTTATGTGCAGACATCTACAGGGGAGGCCCCCCCCCCCCCAAATCATGGAAAGTGAAGGACTCGCGCTTTCGTTAGCTCACTTCCAAAAAGTCCACTGGCTGCATTTGGTGTTGTTTTAGGAGTCACGTCACAGTCTGAGGTTTCGATGGCTGATCCGTAGTTGAGAACTGGGCCCCAACGTTTCTGGGTTTTTTGCCCTCCTGGCCTTCTGCTTTGTATTTTCACTCCCGGCACCCTCTGAAGAGAGTCCAACACCAGAATTTGTGGTCTTCAAGGGGGTACCTCGTGCCCTTCCATGCTTACTCTTTTTCTTTAAACGTGCTTTCGGTGTGAAGGTTACTCAGCCTCCTGACACTTCTATAAAGTTGGTGTTTTCTGTATTTGTTTTATAAGCTTTGGGTGGGCGGTTCCCCCCCCTTTGTTCAACAGTGCTGTGTGCCACGAATGCGACTCCCTCTTGTGTCTTTGAGTCCCGTGATTCTGTTTTGCTTTGTTGTGGGTGGTCTTCGGGGTGCATCCCTGGATACACTTTCACTAACACGAAGAACCACATCTGTTCAACAGAGGGGGACATAACTCGGATTGAGAGTGTGCTCTTCATTTTAAAAAAGCAAATCTTGTTAGGGTCTGGGTTGGATGGCTGATATGTCCACAGAAAGAGGGAATCTTTGAGTAGGCCGGGATAAATTTCTGGCCAAGGCTCTGGTGGGCTTCTGCGTGTCAGGATAAGGGAAATGTATCAGAGATGTACCAACTGGCACCTCCTGAGCAGAAAATGCTGTGATTTTAAAGTGGTCAGTGGGCAGTGCCAACCCTGCGTGGCTCCAGAACTGCTGCTGAGCGGGGCTTCCTGGGTTAATGAGCGGCCGCTCACACCTTAGAGGGAACCCTGCTCCTGACTGTTGCCACTCTGATTTCTTCTAGACCGGGCGTGAAAAGTATGAGCCGGCAGCAACATCTGAGCATGGCGCCAAGAAGAAAAAAGGGAAGAAGGAGAGGGATATGGATGAGCTGAAAAAGGAAGTTTCATTGGTGAGTAACTCCATGGCTGTTGTAACAACGTCAGGTGGTTGAACTTGTGAAGTGGAGGTTGGGGGCGTTCAGCTGTGTGACGTTTCCTGTCAGGTTTAGAAAGATTATTTCCTAAATGTCATCCTCTCTGCTGCTTGTGTGCTCCTTTTCAACTCATCCCGCTGTCTCCCAATAATCCTTAATGGCCTTTCCCGTTGGCATTACAATACAGAATGTCCATTTCCCCTGTTGGATGTCTTAAAATGGGTGACGGGAGTGCCTACTCCGTTAACTACTCAGCATGTCTCTTAAGCCTTCCTCAGCGTGTTGTAATCCTGCTGGTCGGCAGATGGCCATTCCCAGATGACGAAGTCCGCTTGCCTCAGAGGCTAGTGAGTTCATGGCAGAGACCAGATTTTGCCGGTCGCCTCAGCTCATTTCCAGGGTACTGCAGGCAAGGAAATGGCCGCTTCCGCTGACTGGCGCCCAGATCGATACTTTAGCAGGCTGTGCAGCGTCAAAGGCTCAAAGACAACATTCTGGGGAACCAGAGCCATTTTGTAGTGTTTTTCTTTAAAAAATGGACCTAACTATCGGTAATTTCTGTTGGCGCAGCAGGAAATGTGTTCCAATTGCTCAGGCTGCTTGATCTCTGGGCTGACGCAGTCGGCTTTAAAGGAACCGGTAGTGGAAATACCTCAATCGTGGAAGTATTTGCAGCGTCCCCACTCCGTCCTGAGAAACCAGAGCCTTATCTGCCCACCTGACACATCAGAGCGAGAGCAGGCACCAGGGATGAATATGGCCTTGTTGAGGCTGAAGGGTCCAGTTTTGCCTTTCAGCTCAGGTTCTTTGGTCACCGTGTAGCAGAGGAGCCGGGAGAACTGAAGGGGATGTTTTTATTTATTCATTCATGCATTCATTCAATTTATACCTCACCCTCCCTGCGAAGGTGGGCTCAGGGCGGCTTACACATGTTTCATAAAAATACAACTAAAGTCTATATAAGCATATAAACAAATAATATAAATAACAATCAGTTAAAACAGTTAAAACGCTGGAACATTGTCAGATAAAACAAGAGCAAACGTTATTTCTAATATGGCTTAGATGACTGTATGATTACGATAACTTTCATACCAGCTCAGTTTGCTCACTTATTATGCGGTGGGTACAGGCTAGCGACAGCGAGGGTAGGCCGCCGGAGCAAAGGCTGGAGGTGAAGGTAAAGATGGTAAAGCCAGGGTGCAGGGGCACTCCTCGGTGTATGATGCGGCTCCTCAGTCAAACGTCTGGTGGAAGAGCTCCATCTTGCAGGCCCTGCGGAATTGTAAAAGTTCTCTTCCAGGAGCTCATTCTACCAGGATGGAGCTGCCACCGAGAAGACCCTGGCCCTGGTTGTCACCAGTCTGGCATCCTTGGGGCCTGGAAGGACCAACCGATTTTGTGTCCCTGAACGCAGTGCTCTCCGAGGATCATGTGGGGAAAGTTCCGCTGTTAAGCAGGGCGCACTGTAGAATCTACAGCAGTGCACCCAGAAGTTCCCAGCTACCTTAATTATTCCTTCTATTTTTCTTCTCCATCTGCAAGCAAGTTTGGGATGGTTTTTTTTGGGGGGGGGGTCACTGGAATAGAGCAGATTAACTGTGGGCTGTGCTTACTCAAAAGTTGTGCGCTGTCCTACAGTCTGTTGGAATTAGGGTCTGATCTCGTCTCACCATGCGCTTTGCTTTAAAAAACGTAACTCCCCAAAGGTAGCAGGTTGTCTTCTCTGAAGAACAGAACCTGATGGAACATCCAGACAACCTTTGTTGGAGCATAACTTCCTCTTTGAATTTGGACCAAATGTGTCCCCCCCCCTTTAAAGCCTCCAGACACATCCTGCCTGCCCTTAGTGTCTCCTGGTCTCCTATCTAAAATTCAGGGGGGGCCCCTGCAAAATGGCATTGCGGCCTCTGAGCATGGAGGTTCTATTTAACCAACATATCTAATAGGCCAGCCCTCCTGTATAAATAGAAGAAGAAGAAGAGATTGGATTTATCCCCCACCCTTCACTTGGAGTCTCAGAGCGGCTCACAAACTCCTTTCCCTTCCCCTCCCCACAACAGACACCCTGTGAGGAAGGTGGGGCTGAGAGAGCTCTTTCCAGAACTTTCCTTGAGAGAACAGCTCTGACAGAACTATGGCTTGCCCAAGGTCATCGAGCAGCTGCAAGTGGAGGAGTGGGGAATCAAACCCGGTTCTCCCAGATTAGAGTCTGCAACTCTGCACACTTAACCACGACACCAAACTGGCTTTAAAAAAACAAAACAAAAAACAATACACCTGTACTAGCAGCACTTGTCTTGTGGTATTGCTTTTACATTTGCGTGAAAATAAGAACGCCTTTGATTTAAATCCCAACCTAGGGTATTGCAAGTCAGTGACAGGATACAGTCCAAGCGCTTGCTTTTATCTGGTAGGCTTCTGTAGCTTCCAAAGCCCGCGGTCCAGCCTGAAGGAGCGGCACTAGCCCGGGGCAAAGGTGCAAGTCCAGGACTTCCCGTTGCGTGTAGGCCCCCCTGCTGTGTGCCGAAGGCCTACCTGAACCGACCGGAAGGCGCTTTCTTTCTGGTCTTTATCCTTTCAGTAGCTCTTTTACAACAGAACTTGTGAAATCACAGGACGGGGAGGAGGGGGGTTGGAGTCGAGGGGGGAGTGTGTGCACAGATCAGTGCAGTCTGGGTCCGAGGGCAGCTGGAGTCCGTGGCAGGAGCACACGTTAAAACTGGACCAGAGTCTCAACAGAGGCGGCACTGGCTCCCAGCTCCAAATCTGGGACGAGACTTTCTCCACACAGGGTTGCACAGAGCAGTGCGCAGTCTGTATTGCGTGATGGATGAATGGCACCCGGGGGGGGGTCTTTAGCCAGAGCCCAACAGGGCAGGAGATCTTCTAGCACTAAGGTGTCCTAGTGTCCGAATCCACAGCTGTCAATCAAATACACATTTGTAGCAAAGTAATATTTATTGAAGCCATGAAGAAACTGGAGCAAGTTCACTGTTTGGAATAACCAGAATGGTTGGGCATAGAATAATAAAGCAATTTCAAAATAGCAATAACCAATAGGCTTGGTTCCCGCTCGCGCGGTTGGGCTGTCAAACTCGCACCCAACGCCTGAGAACAAATGTCTCCTAGAAGATAAACAATTAGGCTCTTCTCACACTCTAGTTCATTATAGACTAAGCGAAGCCGACTTTCCCCACCTGTGACCTTGCTGATTACGAGAGTACAAAGCAACACTAGCGTATATCAAAAGGAATGCATGAGACATAGAAATGAGCGCTTCATAGGACATATAGACATGCGCATGAGGATGGAGGGAAAGACATACAGAACACATTGGCAGCTCGCTGACACCTAGCAGTAAGGTGTCCTCCTGCAACCAAAGTGTCAGTCTGTTGGCCCCCTTGCTCTGTGGCAGACTCTCTCGAGTATCCGGATCCCATCTCACCGGTTCCTTTGCCTTCACAGGATGATCACAAGCTCAGCCTCGATGAACTTCATCGGAAGTACGGAACCGACCTCAGCCGGGTAAGGAGATGTGGTTCTCATAGCGACCAAGGGATCTCTTTGTGCTTAATGCTTTGTCTGCATTTGCGGGACGTGCCAATGCGCTGGGGCCTTGACTGGGCTTATCCCTCCTGCCCTGTCCTGGTTGAAAGCCACCAGTCCTGTTCTGACAGGCTTCCAGGTCTTGGCAGGAGGGTGTTCCTTGTTGCGGGATGCTGGTTTGCCGTCGTGGGATGCTGGTTTGCTAATGTACTGTAAAACATTGCTTGGGCCTTGGCTAGGGTTGCCGGGTCCATTGGAAATGCTGGCAGGGGGATGGGGGGGAAGTTCTGGGAGCGGGAAGTGACATCGTGCAACGTGCCTGTGTCACTGGGAAGTGACGTAGGTATGTTGGGGGTGACGCTCTGGTTTTTGGGTGAAACTGTGGTAAAATCAGCCTCTAGGGGTGTGCAACCAAAAAAAAAATTGGCCTGATTCGGTTTCAGCTGAATTGGGCAGAATCAATTTCAGCTGGCAGAAAGACTCCTGCATGTCAATTTCGGAAGTAGGAGCCCATTCCAGAGTCTTTCCTCCAGCCGAATGTACATTTCGACCCCATTATATCCTACGGGCCATTGAGGTCAATGACAAAAACATAGGGTATGTTCTGGGGGCTGGAGGGGAGGGGGTTCAAGGGAGAGGCTTCAAATTCTATGGGCTCCCAAACAGGTTGCCCCCATCCCCTCCATTGTTCTCTTTCCCACCATAGAGAACAATGGAGGGAATGGGGGCAACCTGTTCGGGGGCTGTAGAATTGGACCCCCTAGTTCAATGTTCCTGAAACATGGTGGGTATCTTGGGGACAGGCTCCACCTCCAGCCCCCAGAATATACCCTATGTTTTCACCATTGACTTCAATGGCCTATCTCTCCCCTATATTATAAAAGGGTTTTGGGTGCCAGAATTCTAAAATGCACTCCTTTAGTGTTAGGCCGAAAAAACTGCCACTCGGAAGACACTGGCTGGGTTCATTGGCTGCTTTGTGCAGTCCCGCCCAGCGTTCCAAGGTCATTTACATATGGAAGCTGATTGGACTACATTCCA